TCACAGTCTGAGAAATAACCTCTGTCCTGCCACTTATGCTGTTCGTTGCTCTCCTGTGTTTTCCATTAGGATTGTCATTCTGTTGCCAAAAAGAAGGAAAAAGGATCCATCTCTCCTGCGTTCTTGCTGGCTGAACAAGCCATTGTCCACATCAAGGGTTTTTTTTTTTTTAATTTTACTATTTATTTTGCAGGTGTGCTTTAAACATTTTTAATAATATAATTGCACTGATGAGACCTATAAAGGAGCATGTATAAATTGCTCTTGCCCTTTTTACAGCCTAATATTCTCCTTGGTTCGGGGGGGGAAATCGGTGGCCTGGCAGAACCAGATCCACACAGGGTGTGGGGGGGTTAATGGTACCGGCACTGCTGCAATGATCTGCCTAAGGGCTGCAGATAAAAAACAACCATTTTTTGTTGTAAAGGATCAGAATGAGGGTTATCTGGAGGGACAGAGTTTCATGGTCTGCAGTACATTTCCAGTGTTCATCATGCCAAGAGTATTCCTATTGAGAAACAGAAAATTGGGGGTTAAACCTTCATCTGCAGAGTCACCTTGAAACCCCATAATGTAAGATCAGTAATTGAAGATAGCTGTTTGCTAAAAAGATTACTGACGGGCATAAAACAGTAGCTGTAAGTATATTTTATGTCTTAGATATTTTCCTGGCAGACTAAAGTCTTTCACTGAGTTATGCAGTAGCAGCCCTGGATTTGGATAACTTGTGCTCAGAATAATAGTAGGGTGTTTTTTGGGGTGCCAGAGGGGAGAAAAGGTAGCGCTTTTTTAAATCAGTGCACCGTAATTTTCTTTGGTTAGCACAAAAGCATTCTGCACTCCACAAATGGAGAGGCCCGTTTCAGTTTCTTCTTCTGCAGTATTCTGTACAAGAGGGAAGAAGATGAGATAACTCTTCCTGGATAATATCCAAGATGTTAACTAAAGAAATGGCACTTCTACATTCACTCGTTACTGGCTGGAGTTCATGGCCATACTGGTATTTCATGTCTTGCTTTCAGGTTAAGATCTTTTCAAGATGATCTTTTCTAGAAACCCTTTCTTGTTCTGCCACTAGAGGTCCTAATGATAATAAGAAAAGGAGGCACAAAAAGCAATAAGGAAATACCTATGTATTTGGCACTGGAGAATTCTTGCAAGGTGGACCTGAGTATCAGGTCACAGAAACCCCCCATTAGTTAGCTGACAGCATGGGTTAGTGCTAGGCACACTGGAGGAACAGCATCTGCCTGTTGGACCCAAAAGATTAGCTTTGTCTCTGATCCAGAGTGATTTTCATGCGTTCCTGTCGTGCCCTAGAGGAGTGGGAGGTACGCTTTGCTTACACTTGGGCAATACACAGCTAATTTGTCATGCCACCCAAGTTAGAACAGGGAGGGATGAGCTATGGATGATGGCTTTGAGGTTGCTTGGATCTACCTGACAAGTGAAATGCGAGGGTCAACCAAGAATTTATCAAATGCCATGGTACTGAACAGCAGGGCAGCTGCTGAAGCAGCTTTGAGGACTTGCTTCTGGTTCCTTAATCCTCAGTCTCCTGCTTTGTCCTTTCCCCGCCAGAGCTTGCTCTTGTAGGTAGGGAGAGATGAAAAATCACCCCAGGTGCCAAGGAGAGCAAAGAGAAAGCAAATGGCCTGAATGCGTGAAAGTTTAGAGAAAAGCTTTCCCTGCCAGGCATGCCATTAGCAGCCAGTACTTGCAACATAATCCTGGGGCTGCTGTTATTGTTGTAGCCCTGTTGCCTTGCTGTACAGTGCTTCAGTGCTGTAAAAAGAAATGGGTGGACATACCTGGGAACTGAAATTAAATCCAGCTTTTCCCATTTGCCACTTTTCTCTATTATTTCCCTCTGTTAAAATTTGAATGTTGATTTTTCGCATTCTGCTGAGTCTGCAGTCTTTGATAGCATGTAATTGTTCTAAATGTGTTCACTAAAGAACAATAAAATCCACTGGCAAAGAAAATTCCAGCAAACCGATTTCTTATCAAAATCTGCCAGCTTGTTGAAAGCAATGCATCAGGTATCCCAGAGGAAAACATTCCTTCTTACAATGGGATGACAAGGAAGCGGAGCCCATCACCTTGCCATGGGCAGCCTGGCCTGGGGACCTCTCTCATCATGACTCTAATGAGCATCCCAGCTCTGTTTCAGAAAATAAAGGAAACACTTGGTCTTGTTCCATACTGAAACCAAACTGAACTCAGTAACCCTGGAAATTCTGCAAAATGGAATTACCACTTTCTGCCAAGCTTGAGCATCATGTTACAGTGCCTAACGTTGAATGAAAACTTAGAAAATACTGTATTTTTCTGAAACGATGGGCATTTTCTTGTAATTAGCAAATTGTGGCTCTTTGTACTTATTCTGCTTATCAAGTTACTTCACAGTGTCAAGACCTGTTTTGTTCCAGCCGTCCCTCGCATCACTGATTTAAGAGTTGTTCTTGGCACTAGGAAACCTTAGGGGTGCTGTCCTGGGCTGCACGCAGGAGGTTGTTCCAACAGCAGGAACTGGAGCTGAAACTGTTCATTGTTTATGTGAAACTAAATGTTATTTCCTTAGCACCAGCACCAGGCTCTGTTCCTGAGGCTGTATGTGCACATATCTGCACAGGCACCACAGCCTGAGCACGGTGTGTTGCACTAGGAAATTAATGTTTCCTTTGCTTCTGCAAATAAAGGCATCCACGGCACACTGCCCTGAAGAAGCAGCTCTTGCCAGCATTGGGGAGCTGATGGTGATCCATCAGCTGAACCACATAAACTCAGGAAGCATTTGTGCCTCAGTCACACTGAGGGTCTTCCAGGCTATATCCTTTGTTGACTGATCTGTAAGTAACAGCAGCTCTTGGCAGCCCAGGTGATGTTTTTGATGGGTATGACACATCAAATGACAATTAGATAAGATGACAAAAAGCCAGTGTTTTAGATAGAAAATTTGGCCAATGAGAACTGCAAGGCTTCTTTTTAATTGGTGTGATGAGTTTTATGTCTGCCCACTTGAAATACTGTGATTATCAAACTGTCTCTTTGTTCACTGCTTGGCTTTTGACTTCTAAGCAGGCAAAGCAGGCAGTGTATACTATAAAATGTAAAGAAAAAGAAGATGCTGCTAATGCACTGAACTGTCTTCTCTATAGGACTGTTTGGCATTAAACATTTTAGTTTGGCTACAGCTTTTGACCCCTTTTCATTCCTTCAATCCCAAACCCTATGTGTAAATGGTGATTGACAGAATACTCTGTGTTTGAAGCAGCCTCACAATGGCTTGTACTCAGATATAAATATCTGATGTTCCAAGTCTTGAGAGATGAACTCCTGATGTATTGAAGTACCAGCTGATTTTCTTTCATATCTGCAATTAAATTCTTCATATAAATGTCACATTACATGATGAGAAAGAGACTGTAAAACCCCCAGTTTTCACCTAGTAGCATATTCAGGTCAGAAGTTGAGAAAAAAATCCTGTGAAAAACATGACACTGAAGGATGTAATCCTTTAAAGGTTGTTTATGCCTATGACAATATAAATTACATTATTAGATTATTTTTTATCAGTGTGTAAGACTGAGAGACTAACAAATACATGGCAAAGAAGAGAGATTTGTGGTAGGAATCTTAACTAATCACTAATAACTAATATATTAAATATTTTAAAATATATTATGTATGCATATTTTTAAAAATGGATCATTTTCACCATTTTCTCAATTTGCAACACAAAATTACTGTTAGTGTAAATACATATCATAGTATTGCCAAAGGGCATGGACTTTAGCAAAGGTCATTGTGTAGCTACTTAGAAACTGAATGTTGTATTCAGCCTTTAGGCTGCTCTGCATGTACCTTGGGTTCAAGCGAAAAAGAAGAACCTTGCCAACAATCCTGACATCTATATCTGTTCTGTATGGTGGAAATTCTGCTGTAACTTTCTAGCCTATTCATCAGAAAGAGGTAGGAGATTTGTCATTAATAACAGCATTAACATCTTCAAAATATTACAGACTTTTCTGAAAATTCACGTTCTTACTGTGTTGGGATGAGGTTACGCAGTCACACAGCACCCTCACAGTGGGGTCTCTCAGTCTGTGAACAAAGATGCTATCTTAGGAAGAGTGCTGCTGGATGTAAGCTTATCTGAGGAAACTGCAGATGGTAGCAAGGAAGTCTGGTTTTGGCTGTCTTCTCTATGCCTGAACCCAAGCCAGATCTGGGGGGAACTGAAAGAGGTGGGCACTGGGATTGGGCTCCTGGAAGGGATTTTAGCCTGGGTGCCCTCTGGGTGATGTTCCTTCCACCTAACTCCCATTTAAAGGCTACATATGCCATCTAAATTAATCATTAAGACTCCCTCTGATCAGTAGAGAAAGTGAGCACTTCTAGATAGTGACTGACCCATCTTCTTTAAATACATTACCTTTGGAAGAGGTCTCTGCTAACCAGTAGAAGCAGCCTAAACAATTGCTGTTCTTCAGGGGGTTGCAGTTAACAGAGGTGAATCCTGTCCATATTTAATGCATAATAATCTCCAAGTGGGATAGCTGTTTTGCAAAAAAAAAACTAACCCACCATTTGCAGCTAGAAAGACATCAACCCCACTGTGCCTGTTACCCCAAGTCATGGAGCCAGACTGTTTTTCTAGTACATCCTCCCAAGCCACCTGGTGAAGAAGCAGCTGTAAGCTGTCTCAAGGGTGTGCCAGGGATTGTGCTTTCCAGAGATTCCACTTCTGTAGTCCCTATTCAGACCTTTTCACTGAAACTTGATAGGAATTCTGACACAGGACTATAAAGACAAACCCCCTCCAAGAAGCGAGTGGAGACAGGATCCTCCTGTACATTCCTGTAAGGCCATTATGTGATGGCTAAATGAAGGTATTGCCACTGGAGGCTTTCCAACAGGGTTCTTTTGCAGCTATTATGGAGCATAAGGAAAAAGAACCATCGACCAATCATATCACAATGGACAGAAATACAACATTTCATTGTGCACTGGTATACTTTATTCAGGGCAGAAGTGTGCAGTTTGCATAGCTGAAAAACATAAGCCAAGTTACCAGTATTTGCAAGACACTCCTTTTTCACATTTCACAGTCACTCTTCCAATACATTTGTAATTTGAATCAAATTGCTGGAGATCAAATGAGATACAAAGGCGGAATTTGAAAGCTCTCACTCACGTCACCTTCCAACTGTTATGAAAATCTAGGCTGTTACTGTCCTTGTTCTGGTTACCTCAGCATAACCCCATTCCTTCCTGGGGAAATCTGTAATAGAAGCTATTGCATTTTAGGAAGCAGACAGTATTACAGCTGCATCAGCGTCTCTAAGGGAGGACCTGGAGGCACTGACAGATACCCTGAACATTTCTGTGCTACAGGATTTATCCTAACAGTTGCTTTAACCTTCCCCCTGTTCAAACTTCAGGTTAATACATGGAACAAATGCTGCTATTCTGTTTCCCTGCACTAGTGATGACACCTCACCTAACAGGACAAGCCCCAGACTTTGCCAATACTGATTGAATCGACTAGGTTTACGTTTAAAAGTAAGTTGAAGATTACTTCAGGCTTTTATGTTCTTCCATTTCCAGTGAGCTGGAAGAGGAATAAACCAGGCTATTTAGTAAGCGCTGTCAACTGAAAGGTGACCTGTTCTTGAATCTGGCCTTTTATCTCAGCTTCATGGGTGGGTTTGGCTCAAAGCACTAGTGATGCCTGGGCTGACAAATTCAAAGGAAAAGGTGGAGTTATGCTATAAGATGTTTACTTGTGTTATGCTGGAATTCCTTTGCTCTTGCCCAAGGCTGTACTTTGGAGGCCTTCAGAGATAAAATTGTTCCTTCATGCTTGCCTGAAATATTGTTTTCTTATGTTTTCCTCTTGTCAATGGGAATTAGAAATGAAATGTTGTCCCTGACCAAATACAGAGCTAAAAGTAATTGTGTGTTTTGTGATGCTCGAAGTGTTGCTGTCTGCTAGTTTTGAGTGAAAGATGGGCAAAAATGAGGAAAACACACCAGCACCCTTAGCAGGGATGCTTTGTTGAGCCCCTTGTACAACCTGTGTGAGGAGAAGAGTCTAGTTGATGGATCTAACCACAGGGGCAAAAGTGTAAATGACCACAAATTGGTTGGTACAACCAACCAACCATTTAAAAGGCATACAGGAAGGAAACTAGGAAATATAGGGGATAGATGTTTTTCCTTTGGATTTTTTTTTTTTGGTTGGTTTTGTTTTGGGTTGTTTTTTTTTAATATTTATATTAGGGGAAGTGTGCTCCATGGTATGGCCCACAGTCTATGTCCCCTGGCTGTCCCCATATGGAAACCAACTAGACCACAGACCCTTCTGGCCTGTACTCTGGAATTCAGTTCCCTTGGAAACTGAACACATACTTACACTGTTACTAAAAGCAACGAGTATAAAACCAAGTATTTTTTAAATGGTACCAAACCATATCTTTTCATTTTATTGTTGGAAGAGGTATAATGTAAGGTACTTTTCTATTGTACATATATCTACAGCAAACCTTACTTTCTAGGTTCTGATCATTGTGTTAAAAGCAGTACAGGATGTCCATGTCTCTTCAGTTTAATTCCAAAGATTTCCTCTCAAAACAAAAAATGTTTTCATTCTTCTTTGTGATAAATCCCACTTGTTATCAGTGATCATATTTCTATATACATTTTTTAACATTAAGCTAAATGCTGAAGTGTAGAATCCAAAATAGAATAAATAACACATAATTTAAAAATCTGACATACTTATAATTTAAAACAAAGGAATCACATGTCAATAAAACAGCATATATGCCATTTTAGAAGTTCTCTTTTCTTACCCTCAGTATGGGCAATGATCAGGGGTCACTTGGGGTTCTGAAGAAGTTGCTACCATCCTTTCAGCTGAAAGTTGAAGCATTGTCAAGAATATCACAGGAAACTTTAAATGACACAGCAGCAAATGGTACTAGATCCTGATGCTGTCAAAGAGTAAGTGGTAATTAGGAAGATTGGAGCAATGCCTGAACATGGTGTAGAATCTGTGGCACTCAAAGCAGAGACCCCACTGGGAAATGTTTTGGACAGCACAACACAAAATGCTGTTCGTGTCTTCTGTCGTAATCAGTTTTATATGCCTGAAACCAATTTATTACTATTTAACAAGAGCAGGTGGCTGGAAGGCTCTGAGCATATTCTGCTGTTCTTCCTTTCTCTAACATTCAAACAATGGGCTTTACATTAAAAAAAATATAAAATAATCTGTCTCTTGGGAAAAAAAGGTCTCAAAACCAAATTAAGCTTTGTTAATGATGCCATTATCCTTTACAGTGTGAGAGACCTAACTCATGCTGCAAGTGGAAGTAGGCACCAGTATTTTCTTCTTAGGTAGCCACTATTGAAACAGGCTCTTTCCCTTCATTTGATGTTTTCAGCCGGCACTTCTGTCACTGTAGCTTTATAAGAGCAAATGGATGCCACTGATGCTTTCCATTTCAAAATAAGCAGGAAAGTTCTTACCCTTCTTTCTAATCTAGCTCAATCATCTTCCATAGTCCACAAAAAGTTTCCTGAAGAGTTGTTCTTAAATTGCATGAAAACAAAACCAAAAAAATGCTAACATTTTAGTCTCATTCTCCCATTCAAATCAGACTGTGGACAAAGGATTTAAGGAAGGGTGTGCCAAACACTGAGGACTGTTGGTATTCCAAATCAATTACAGCAGTTAGTGCCTAATTAAGTGCTAATTTTTGTTCTATGCAGTCTCATAGAGGGTAGAAATTTGGCTCAGGCGACTTGGAACACAAAATTTGAGCTATTAGATGTGAAAACATCTACTACTTCTGTGCATAGAAAATCTACTTTGTTTTATGTGAGTTGAGTGCTCTGTAAAACAAGGCGAAACTCTTATCCTGGTTTGGCTGGCTTCCTCCTACAGTTTCAGAAGTTTCACAAACATTTGTTTTCCTGTATCCTCACAAGTTACAGAATATGCTGAAGACAAGTTCGCTGGCAGCCAATTTTCCATGTTTCCTTCAAAGGAAAACTCAACTGTCTTCTGCAATAGCAGAGCTGAGAATCCCTTGATGCTCACAGTATCTTTATTCCCTGCTTCACAGAATAAATAGAATTTTTAGCTAGAGCTGAATAGGCAAGGAACTGATGGCAATTATTTGAGCCAGGCTTTCAAAGGAGAGACCTTCATAACTTCCTTGCATGCAACAGCAAACACAAAACATTGTTCTTGTCCATGCAGGAAATGTATCTTAAATCCCAAACAGAAGTAATGTTAGACTCTGGAGGCTTGACCTCCACAGAGACCTGTCAGTCATCTCTGGCGCAGCATATGGGAACGTTCAAATTGCCACACCTGATAGGCATTCTTGTTGCATGCAGATAAAACCAAGTCCTTCTCATCTTCACTCTTTGCTGCTTCTATGCATTTGCCAGAAAGGACGTGGACAATCATTCCATTCTACAAGATGGGAGAAGGGAAAAAAAGAACACATCAAAAAGAAGGGTTTTCCAGTAAAAGCTAGGCCATGTTTCTGAAACTTTTTACATACAATAGATCATCAGTAATGACTGGGTATTCAGATTTTTGCAGTATTGCTCTAAACATAATGGCTGGGTTTAGCTTTTAGCCCAGGGCATGGTGAGTATTCAAAATTCCTTTCAAAGCTGACCGGATTGGTAGGTACAGAACTCAATACATCTCTTTCCACCACTATTTGTTTCCTGTGGGTACAGGTTGTCATCAACATCAACTACAGACCTACAGACCACAGATTTTCAGAAGGACCCATGCTTCCCTTCCTTAGGAATCAAAACAAATTACAGCAGGAACTGTACCAGAGGATTGCAGCATCCCTAGAACTACAGTCACTACTATTTTCCAAGGCTGTCCTAAAGCATGACTTTTTTCAGTCTTGTAGAGGAGCTCCTGCACAGCCGAGTGAAGTCCACTGAATAAATACCAAATTCCTCTAAATAGGAAGTTTGCTCGTCTCTTACAATGCAGGAGATTTAATGTTCCCCTACTCCCAAAGGGCTCTCATTTGGCTCGGTTCAGGATTCACAGAGCCTTCCTCTGCCAAAAAGAAGTGGGCAAGATTTGCCCTGCTCTTATTTTCATAACTGCTGATTCTGATTCTATTCCTATAAAGCCAGTAAGACAAACAGTTAAAACAAGGACATATGAATTCAGATAGGATTCCTATAATTTGTATTTTTAAACCAAATTTATTTCACATAGACAGTGTAGAGGGGCAAGAGGCATCCTACATTTCCTGGCTATAAATGGTACACAAGTGAAACTTCCCCTTCAAATACCTCATCCTTTCCCCACCCAAGAATCTTGCCAATCACCCAGTGATCCCACAGCCACCATCAGCTGCCTTCCCCTCACAGCAGCCACTACTGACCTCCTGGACATCCCAGTGCTGGTGACTGTTGTCTGTCTCCTTTGTACAGTTTTGAGGGATAACCTTCCCATGTCTGACATCTAAGCAAATCAGTGGAGCAGAACCGAGCCGGATTTCCTTCATGCTGTTATATTCAAAGTGCTGGAAAAGGGAGGGTTTGTTTGAACAATGATGGAAGGACAACCCAATTCAGTTTTAAATGCTAATTCCAAAAATAATTTCCTGTACATGCTTGCTAAGATGCAACCCAAACATGAGTGATGGTGACCCAGCAGCCTTGACCTTGCAAAGCAGTCCCCTCAGCTAGCTAATTCTGGTGTAATTATTTACCTAAGGTAAGGCTTTGTGGAATGCAATTATGGATAAAGTAAACCCATCATATAATAAAATTTTCCAGTTTAATAAATATTTGAACAGATGGGTGTTTCTGCCAGCGTCTGCACACGCTGTAGTTAGAAATGTGCCTGCAGCTCATCCTGAGCTCTGTGGAAGCAGCAGAACTTGCTTGGGACTTGGAGTAAATATCTGCAGTCAGTCTGTATTGGTTTGGTTTCTCTTGGTGATAGTCTGATGCCAACCTGGGAGCTTACATGAATTGCTCTCCTGTCTTTTGACTGCAGTTTAAGCACTAAACTAGGCACTAATGAAGAAACCCATCCCCATTATTCTGATATTGTTACATTTTACTCCCAGACTTTCTGTTCTCCGGACACCACCAAACATACGAGCGAGTAGGCACTTAATGATGTCTGCTGGAGCAAAGCATAGGTATCTGGCCTCAGTGACACATGGAACATTGCCGTGTTTCAAATGACACTCAGATGCAGAAAAATGGGTGTCATTGCTTTAGCACATGTCTAATTTTGAACACATCAGTGTTTCCACTAATGCCAACCCAGTCATTTTTATGTTGGAGTTACTGTTTTCTGGATGGTTCCCTAAATCTGATGCAGCGCCTATAAACTTCAAATATACAGTACCTGGGTTATACTGTCACTGCAAGGGAAGAGTTCGATAGAGCCTTCTTCAATGGCTCTTCCAGGTCTGTAATCTGCACAGAAGCCAACACCAGTATTGTAAAGCTGTAAGTAAAGGTTTATACTGAAATAAGGCACAATCAGATACAAACAAATATCCTTCAGCTAACTTTTTTGGTGATTGTATCCATTTATGATATATGGTTTTGCTCATAATTCGGGCTTTTTTTCTTTTCTCTCAAACTAGATCTTGCATATTGATCTTGAAAAATGATCTGATATAAAAAGGCCATCTGCATGAAGCAACACAATTCTTTTCCTTTACTAATGGGACCTAAGGAAACTAAGGTTAGGATCCTCTGAGCTTTAGACAATCTGGGTTCAGCTCCTGGCTGGCTTTCAATGTTTATGTGACCAGTTGTTTGTCTCCACTGTTCTATTCTTTCTCCTCCTATCCTTCTTGCATTGTTTGTTTGGACAAATGTTTCAAAGCAGGAACAGCCTCTTGCATTATGCTGAGTACTTGGTACATGGAAGCAATACTGTGGTCTTTGAGCAATGCAAACCCACTCCTCATTCTTTATAGCGTATTTTCTCTTACCTTGCCAGAGAATCCTGGTGTGTCTTCAGGTTGGGAGAGCTCAGGGTACACATTTGATACAAACCACTGGAAATTTCTACAGCCCAGTCTCTTTTGCAGCTGAAGGCGCTCGCTGCAGTCTGGCTTCTCTGCCTTTACGGAGAAGGCATAGGGACAGCAAGGTTACTGGTATATTTGTGTTAGAGATGTTAGAAGTGAAAATGACTACATAGGAATTATTTCTACCATCTCTTCTATCCTGCATGTTATAGAAACTGATATATATCTATTATTAGTACACAGAGGAGGAGGACCAGCTATAGCCTTCCTCCAACTTTGTACTAAAACAGCATTTAGTCTGGCATTATGATGGAAGCAAATGTTTCAGAAGTAGCATACACTGTAAAAATAAATATTTCCTCTAAAAGTTATTATTATACTTCAAGATAACTTGGTCATTTTTTAAATTAAAAAGTCAGGACCAAGCTTGATATTTGTTAAACTGAAATCAGTGGAATTGCATTAGATGATTGTCATTCAGTACAGAATTTGCCCCATCAATTAAAATTCAATTTCCTGGCTTTTAACAGCCCAAATTACCCAGTTATTGTCAGTCCTCCAGGGTAGGAGGATGTTAAGTGATGAGAGAGTTTAACCCAAAATATAATCTATCCCATTATTATCTGATAGTTACTAAATCTTGTAAGTGAATGTGTTCTGTGGCTATAAAGGCATAAAACTTTTTCTATGATTTATGTGTTTTCTTGAATTATATGCACACAAAATCAGCTCTTGCCCTTCCTGGTAGCAATTCTGTTCTGAAGAAAGACAAATGTCTTCAGCCCTTGGTGAAGCTATGAGCGTCTGCACTGCAAAGGACTGACAGTTGGAATATTTGAGGGTATTTAGCACTGAAGATGGCTAACATTTCTGAAAACCTCTAGGCAGGTAAGTGTCAACCCTTCAGTTTCAGAACTACATGAAACACTTCTCTAAATCTCTCAGTGCTCAAATACTAAAATACTTCACCACCCTGGATTCTCTCTGCTCTTTCTCGCCAGCTGTAGACCTCCCCCTTCACATTTCTACGTTTAAAAAATGGAGGTTTGGATTCCAGGAAACTGGACTGATTCCTACATCAGAAATTAAAATTCGTAATATAAGCAAAGAACTGCCTGTAAATAACTTTCCCTCAGACCGGCTATCTCTCTGCATCCATAAGAAAGAGAAAAGGGCTTTGTTTTCCATGCCTGGAAAACACTGACAAATGAAGGGCCTTTGATATCAAGGGAGAGGTATCAGTTTCTGAAGGCAGGGAGTGATTGAAGAGATCAGTCATGCCATGTGGCACTGTTTGCCAGCCGCAGTAAGCTGCATCAGCAAAGCTCGAGAGTTGCAATAGGTTAGAGAACCTCACAGTTTAGATATAGTCTTAAATTCAATAAGCATAACAACAAGGTTCAGCAATTTAGCACCACACAAACCTGCTTCCAAGAGGTTTTCTTGGAAAAGAGAAATAAAGAAGTGAAATGGTCCCCTAAAATGAGGTGTTTCTCATGAGACTGCTTTGGCTGAAGAAGGTGATGGCAGGAAATCTCATTTTCTCATACTAGTTACATTCTGCAGTTGATGCTGAATAAGTGGTGTAAATAACGTAAAGAAAATAATTATCAGTGTAAACCAATCTGAAAGGAAACTATTCTTGTAAATGAAATCTATCAACCACCACACAAGAAAAGGAGAAAAAGAGACAGTGGCTGAAATAGTGGAGAGCTGGGAAGCGCCTTATTCATCTGCATTAACACTCATGCCACAGGAATCCTGTGCAAGATGTGATTCAGACCGTAAACCAAGAAGACTTATAAAGCAAGCTAAACGGGGCCACTGGTTATTTTCTGCAGTGGGCTCTCAGAGATTTTTGTAGTGGCCAATAGGTGGCTCCGCTCACCCTCTCAGAGCAATAAATCCCCGCAGGGCCCATCTGCAGCTGAGCGTCAATAATGTCATTGCTTCCTTGTGTCTTTTGAGTAACATCTCGCTGCACTGACATACTGAAAATATTGGCTGTGAAAGAAAGGAACAAAGAAAAGGGCCTTTTATGTTATGGTATGCTGAGCACAGAGATCATAAAATTGATCGTTTGAATGAGCATCTTACTTAGAAGTATTAAGAGTATACTGGCTAGAATGAACTCTCAGGCAAAAGGTCATGGTGCTTACAGCTAGTCAACTGCAGCATTGGTGGCTGTAGTTTTTAGTACAGAAAATTGCTTCTGAGTTGACAAGAAAGGCCTTCAGGAAATTATTAAATGATTTAAGGGCCTAACTGCCCATCTTAAAAGACTTGGCCTAGTGTTCTCCTTCCAGTTACACAGCTGTAACACTTGCAAGTCAATTAACAGGTGCCTGGCCAGTGGAGTTCAAATAAAGAGGGAGAAGCTTTTAAAAAATGTGAAAATAGAATGAAAAGGGAAACATGATGGGCTCAGACTCTAGGATTACCATAGCAGGCTGACTCAGGCAGCCTGAGATGCAGGTCCACTGGTGGAGCATGAGGAGTTCAGACTAGGCTGACACACAGCTCTTTTCTTCTCCCTACTCTCATGCAGCTCCTGCTGAATTGGCTTTCTTAGTTGATAGTCAATACTGCAATACCTGAGGTGTGCAGGGTTGAAATGCAGGAGTAAAACTGAATGGGACACTTTGCAAATCACCTAGCCATGCTTTGACTTAATGTTTCAGTGGATCTTTTTTGCCTTAGAAGCATGGCATTGCTAAATGAATAGGAAGATGAATGACATGTTTTCATTCAAAACTGCCCCCAGTTTGTCCACTGGCTTGTAGGGCAAGATATCATTATAAGAAAAGGTACTGGAGCCAGAGAATTCCAGACAGCTGCAGCAACATTAAGAACATTATCAACAACTTACCATTAACAACATTAACCACAGCTGCATGATTCTTAAACAAACATTCACTGGTTTGTAATGCATGGGATATACAGTCCCTTGACTGACCCTAATTTGCAATGAATTATACAGTGGCTTAAAATCAAGTATGGTCATTCTGCAGTTGGTGGGTGTGCAGATGATTCAAGTGTGGCTGCATGCCAGGGCTACACCACACACCTGGTTGTAAGCCTGTCTTGGTTTACAGGCTGCCAGGAATCCAGATCCCTGGAGGTCAGACTGCTGTCTGAGTGATGCTTCTAATGAAAAAGTAACATGTAAATAAAGGCTACGTTGAGATCAGACCTTCTCAGTTACAGGCAGTTGCTTCTGCATGCCTGCAAGTTCAGGGGGAAAAAAAATCACCTTTTTTTGGCACTAGACCACTCAGATGAGTTCTCTTTCAGTAGGAGAGACGCCAGTTTGCCACATACCCGTGAATATTACTGAATATCCTCATGAATCACATGAGGAAGACCTTCAGTTACAACAAATTAATCTCCTAGGAGGGCCCTTTGAGCACACACTGCCACTAGCTTCCACTTCAGGTGCACTGAAACCCTCTACATCCTATCAGTGGAAAAATAAATCAGAGCTTGTTGGGCAAGCTGAAGGAGTCATTCAGAGGAGTCATACTCTAAAGAGATTTGATAACTTCAGCATACAACTCCTAGGCACAAGTTTCTTTCCTTCTTGATCTGAAAGCTACTTCCATTGGAAGGTTTCATACAAACTGTCCCCAGCACCATGCACGTTGAATGTTTGACTGCACACAGACACCCCCACGCATATTCCACCCCCTTTACCTACCTCAGCACACACTCATTCCCTCAGAAATAAACCACTGCAGATGTCTTTACCTTGCTGATTAAGAAAGCCACTGTGTCATGCTTGTAGAAGTTCTCTTTAAAAGGGCCCAGCCAGGTCTCTGCTATTCGGATTTTGTTCCTCACAATGGCATCTTCATAGGAGAAAGCATGGGGAAAGTGATTTCGATAGACATGCCCAACTCGGGAGCATGGAATAATTTCTACAGAGCCACCACAGAGCCAGGTCTGAAACACAGATGAAAACACAAAAAGAGTTTGCCTTATGTAGGTTACCTATATCTAAACAGGAGAAGCTCCCTTACTATAGACTCTGCCTCAGGAAATGCTAATCTGCACATGGCTGGAAACAGCAAGAACATTATTACGTGCTTCTTCATACATTGTTTCCCACAAATACAGAGAAGATACTGGGCAATCAGACATTTGATTCTGAGTATGGCTATTTATAGGTTTTTTTATGTTTTTCTGTGCACAAACAGTGCAGTGTAGTGAAGACACCAGGGACACACCTTCTTTTGTCTGGGACATTAAAGACTCTACACCCTTTGTGTCTGCAGTTTTCATTGCTTTTTAATATCAGTTCCTCTTTGTATCCTGAAAAAAAAACAATGCAAACAATTTAATATAAACAATTCAGTATTTAAACTACAGGTTGGCAAAGAAATAAATCTACTCTCCCTTTGGTGCATGTTAAATGCCAAAAAAGACTAGGCAGCTTTGAGAAGGTGCTGAAACCAGTGACTCAGTCCTCAGGAAGATACTGATAGCCAATGAAACTTCCTTCTCCTGACATAATGCTCCTAACGCAGCAGCTGCATGTTCTGATATAGTCCTGACAGACCGTGGAGCGTGGGGATAGATTTCTGCAAGGAAAGTCTTAGCCCCATACCCCAAGATGTTCTGCACGTAACTGCTTTCATAAATTGCTGCTTGACTTTTCATTCAGGTTCCTTAAAAGCCCAATACTTACCACAACTTGGTGTTTTAATTAAGGTTCTTACCCTTATAGATAGCTCCAGATTTTCTGCTCCCCACGTGGTCATGTCAGAGTCATAAGCTCCAATGTTTTGGAAGTAGTGTCGATCCATGGCCACCACTGCACCAGCTACCACAGGACTCCTGCGTAGAAAAGCTTGGAGGTGAATGCTTTGAGTTTTGGTTAGGGAATTACGTAAAGGGTGAAAATCCCACCATTTGCATAGCGATAGTATTACATCACTTGAATCTAGAATGAACTGATTACCTAACCAAAAGAAAAAACAACTGGAACCTAATTCTAGGATTTGTTTGGGGAAGGGAGCCAAGAGCTGACTTATCAAATAAGGCTCATAACACTGAGAAATGTTACATACATGTACATCCAAAACAAGAGATAAACAGATCATGACTAGATGATCTTAAGGTCCTTTCCAACCCTAACTATTCTATGGTTCTATGAAGACATCTGTTTTAACTCTGTATGACCCATCTTTTGCTTTCCCTACAAACCTCCACACCTTGTCTGGTCAGGTTGTGTACTAGTTTTATGTGCTAAATATATTTGTCATGTTGAAAGTATGACTGTAATCTAGTTAGAATGATTACTAAGGGCCAGACAAAGTCAGTGTAAACCAAAAGCCTATCCCTTCAAAAAAACATAAGCTGAGCATATGCAAGTAACCACATCTCTCTCCTGTTAGCTGGAAGATGAGCCAAATTGTACAGTTTTGCTGCTGAGCTGAGCATAGACATATTGGCTGATGGACTGTTACCTGATAGGGCTGATGGAAGACTGTCGTACCTTCTCTTCATGCTCTGGCACTGGTTCCCAATGAAAATTTAGTTTCCAATCAAAAACACCTCGATGCAGGCTCACTGAGTGATAGTACTGAAAAGTCTTCCAGTCTATGACATCTATGACGGGGGAGATGACACTGTTTCTGAAAAAGACAGTAGCCTTGATTTTCAAAGCCAAAGCAAAAATGAAGTTCAAAACTCTATTAATAAACAGTAGTTCTCCTCTTTGACACTGTCAAACACAAACACTCCTCTAAATGTTGAGTGCCCTTACTTTCCCAGCTGATAGTAGTTAAGGTGCTCAGTGCATGGGAATACTGAGGCTGCAGTGAGGAAGCTAAAGATCAATAATTTATTGATAACCTACACTTGCGTTGTCATATAAAGCTATTCAGGATTTTGCGATGAGTTAGCCGTCAGAATTCTCATAAAGATATTTCACACAGAGGCCCCAATCTCTTATGTTACAGGCTTTGCATGGATGCAAAGTGTAAAGCAAAAGGTAATTTTGACCTCACTTTGCAATCCTTTGATTTTCCTGTAGATACTCAACACACTTCATGAGTTTATTGCTTTTGGTCACTTACCCTTATTTTGTTCTGCTGGTTGTTTTGAAAAAAACATTTATCACTGAGTTAATAAATCAGTTTCTGTTCAGATTTTATCACAAGCTTAAAATGCTCCTGCAAATGTACTGTCACAGTGTGGAATCTACTTTTAAGAGCTAGAACAAAGCCATTGCACTGTAAACAGCATGATTCCAATTTGTGTTCTAGAGTAAGAGAATCCATACAGCAAATCATTCTGGAGTAGCTCTTGCCCTAGAAAATAACTTCCTGTTAAAACTGAGGGAGAGAAATTGAATTATCAATTTTGGGGCCAAAAGTAGGAGGTTTTATCTTCTCTTTTTAAGATTGATAAGTTGGTCATTTATAAGAGCACTCTTGAGAGAAATATGCTTAAAACGTAATATTATCGGTAAAGAAAGGACATCTCGGGAGTCCCCAGTGTGCTTTGCCTTTTTTACTTTTCTGAGGCAGAGACCAGCCAGCCGAGGAAGATGGTAGCTCCAGGTCATGTTAATGTAATCTTGACATATCTTCTCTGCCTTTACAATCACTACAATAATGTTTTTTCAGTATCAGGATGTGGGGAAACTCCAAACTTTGCTTTATCACAGTTACCATTTCCTGTGGAGTATTTTAAAAGCCCAAGGATAAGCACAGGCTACTGTTAGTGAATTGTATGAAGATGAACAGTGCAGAGGATAGCATTAAAATGACTCAGTTATTCCTTTGTTTCCTAATAAGAACAGACTGTGATGAACTAACAGCAGAAAGATTTAAAATAAAGAAGTGATTATATTTCTCCGCTCAGGTGTAAATCCAGCCTTTGTAATATGCAATAATAGGCACTCTTAGAAACAAGCACTGGGTTTATAAATAGAAAGACAATTTCATGGTCACCTGCAATATTTGTAGGCATGCACATCAAGGCAGTTATTTGCTGTCATTCGCCTGCAGGACTCCAGAAGAAATGGAAAGAAATGATAGTAAAACCAATAAAGCTTATATACTCCCCTGATTCTCTTCATGATACCTGTGTGACATAGTTTGTAATCAGGACAGGAGCAACCACCTCCAACTCAAGGCAGCAGGAGCCTTCCTACTGCAAGGTGTGTTTAACCTTTACTCACTAACAGCATGAAAAGAAAACTGCTTCTAGAAGTTACTTAAAAGGCAGTGTCCTCATAGACTAGCACAAGCAGATGCTTTTTTCTTTAATATGCTGGGGAAAATCCACCTCACAAATTAAATGAATTTTGTAGACTAACCTTCAAAAAAATGAAAAGTCATTGTAATTTCTGCAGCCTGCTGCAATCTCCTGTGTATGAGTATCTGACAACTGCTGTTAGGAGTGTAGTTGCCATTGTGTACTTCCCACCTCAGTTTGATGCTACTTGCTGAAATGCATGTTATCTATTGCTACTTGTTTATCCATCTCATCCAGACAGGACTGAAGAAGTAATAACCCCAGGGTACTTTATTTTACCATTTTGGAGCGAAGAAGGAAATATCAGGAGGGCGTATATGAGTGGAAGCCAATGGAGGCATTGTAGACTAAACCATTCAAAAAACCTTGACCATGAAGACTAGACCACATGTGCATATCTGAGATATAGTTCAGGCAGAGACAATGTGGATACTTGGTTATGCTCAAACATATTCTGGATCAGATGATCCAGACATTTCACATTATCCTACATTTTCATAGAATTTTAGCCATTTGAAACCTGTTCTTTTTGCATCTACCTTAAATTTCTTGCCGCTACAAAACTCAAAACGCCAATGCTTCTAGTATCAGTGCAATTGCTCATAAGAATATGCACCACAGCATTAGTTCTTATTGCAACAACAGTTTATTTTTAATGCACGCTTTTGTTTTGCTTGTTATTGGGTATTAATTCTTCGACGCCACTCAAGAAAAATATCTGCAGTGATGCAATGGATTGTGATGGCTTGGAGACCAAGCAATTATCCAAACTATCTGCAAATTATGACACAGAAAATTACAGTCCTTAAACCAGCTGAAAATAGCACACTGGATAGGTCACATTCTAACCTGGTGTGTAATGTTAGGTCTTCACCTGGTATAAACTGGTGTAGCTCTGCTGAAACCAAAAGAAACACACCTTCTTAAAACTTTAAATGCTAGGAATGTCTTTCTGACCTGAAATAGAGGAATCTGGTAACTTTATCTTGTGTGAATGCTGGTCAATGTCCAATTTTAATTTTAATCAAGCAGTGCATTACCTGTCTTTTGGTATTAATGATTTTTTCTTTTTAATAACATATCTGTTTTCTGCATATTCAGTGATAGTTTGATGTTTGAGTCTAAAGGCAAATCTGCAGCAGAAGCAATTGAAAGCTGGAAAATGTTCTTAGCTATTCTGTTTTGTTTTAACTGGGTAACTGGCAGACGGTCAGCAGCTTCTCGGCACTTTGAAATGAAACACACACTGGCAAACTACTGCTAATTTTACTCTGTGGAATCCAAGGAAAGGGAAAAACAGGAAATTCAAACACAACTATCAGCAAGGCTTTGAACCATTTGACTCATTTGTGCATATTTCAAATGCTTGGAACACACATGAACTACAAAAGGTCACAATTCCATGAAGAAGAGCAACCCAAACAAGAACAATTTCCTGGTTTGGGATTTCTCAACCAAATACAACTGCAAATGAAAATTCTTCCCATGACCCTTTGCATTCACCATGAACATTATGTTCTTTTCTATTTTTAGAAGTAACATGAGGAGAGGAAGATTGAATTAACACATCTGTTTTGAAGTTTTAGATACACTAGTTTTTGGAAGTGCTTTTCATTGATTTGTGCTTTCTTTTGCTGGGAAAGGAACAGATTTTAATATGTTTGAAACCCCCTTTAAACAAGGACAAACAACAATGAAAAAACCCCAAACCCAAACATGAAAGTTACATATTTTGCTCAACCAGTTTCAGAGTGGTTTACTCAAATATTGCCCTACAGACCAGCTCCAGACTAACACAAGGCATATGAACAGTCTCTCTGAATTGATGGACCGCTTATGTGCTAACCACTAAACATACATTTCAGATCTTTGCTAGGTAGACTGCTAAGGAATGCTTTATTTAAAAAAAATAAATAAATCTTTTAAACCTGTCTTTTTTTGTTAAAATATTCAAATCTGTATGTGGGGTATCAAAATCTGTAGGAACAACCAATAGCTTTTCACACTGGACAGTCAGGGCACTGTGCCATAGATCATGCTAAATCCTCATTGCGCCTACTTTTGGCAGTAATATTTGCTTTTGGCTTTATATTCTTGTCTTCAGATTCTTTACCTCAACTTCTTTAAAACAGGTCACCTACTGATCCTGATCAACTGTGAAAGACTGTAAAGAGATAGCATATCTTCACCTAATGTATCATGTAAATGCAGAACATCAGTTTACTGAGTTTGAAGTGAGTGTTATTGGCAAATGGAGGACGTAAAAGGAACAGGCAAAAGGAGCTGTCCCAGTGTCAGGCTGTTATATGTGAAGTATATGGAAAGTTTTCATAACAAGGAGAATAGCAAGGAACTGCATGCTCAGATGCTGGGGTTCCGCGGGCTCTGGATGGATAAGATCATGCTTCCCTGAGTCTGAGAAAAAGTAGAAAACAGATGGCTTATGTATTCAGTAATTCAAAAAGCTGGGGTATAGGCCACTGAGAAGTGGAGGATCAGATGAAAAGAGATGAAGGACCTGTTAAACTGTAGTGCAAAATATTTCCCTTCTCTCTGGTGTATTACCATAAAACTAGAAGCACACACAAATTTTCTGGACAGCGGGACTCTTGTATCTACAAGCAGAGGCTCCAATTCACTCCTGAATGGGAGCAAACATTGGGAGTGGATGAGTGGATGGGAGTGGAATGGGAGCATCCAGTGGGAGTGGATGAGATACCTTTCCACTGCTGTGTTAATTTCTTACTGTTTAACAGCATTTCCATTAAAGATTAGTGACCTAGAATCACAGTCCTAAGTTGAGGCCTTTGAATTTTAGAAATTAGATAGGCTTCTCTGAATAATATCACATACTGCTGTTTTCGAATGTAATATTTGAACTGTGGTATGGGCAGTGCACCAACACAGGGGAAATCAGCCCTTGCAACAAGGAGCAAGGAGAAAGGGGAAAGATCCTAAGGGCAAGCTACCCCTTTGCAAGCCACTCCTCTGCCACAGTTATGGTGCCTATGTCTTTTTAAGAGGTGGAATTCCTTGTCAAGAATATAATCAAGGCTCATTTTGCTTTATGAATTATTCTCAGGAACCGCACTTAGGATCTATTTTTTTAAAAATTAATCCTGCTTCGGCATGGTGGTCACTGGTTTTCGGTTGAAGAAAGAATCTTTTCAAGGCTTCATGGTACAGTTCATAATATGCCCTCTACGCCTTTCACTGCCTTTGGACCGAATACAATCTAGCAGCTGTCTCCTGCAGTCTCCTGGAAAAGGCAAACGCCTTGAAAGATGACTGTAATAATGGCACAGCTGCATTACTATGCACTATGCTACTCACCTGAAATTAGCCTGGAACACAAACAGTTGTCAAATGAAATGATCTATGGGGCATTTCAACGAATTTTCTAATGTTGTCCAGGTATGTACAGTATTCACCCTTGAACAATCAAAATGTCATGGGACGCTACACAAACCATTGAACCATTCTCCAGGCAATATACTAAGCTGATGCACAGCTTCCCAGTCAATTCGTTAGGTATGCTTCACAGAACTAGTCCCAGTCAAGGTGCCCATAAATGCATGAGTAATGATTTTGGAAAGAATACTTTTCTGAAAATAATTTTGTTTGCATTAGTGAATAAAGCCATCATGTAGGGAAGTGAAATGTCAAATATCTGTCCAATATTTCCACACCTGTTAAAGTGGTATAATTTTTGTCGTGTTTGTCCTGTCTGTAATTACCACAGTCTACTAAGAACTGCAGGGATTTCTGCATTTGTGTGTTTAGCTCACAGTGAGGTCTCAGTTTGGGTAAGGATCTCGCAGCATTGCTGTAAGACAGGTCACAGTAACAGCGGCAGGTCTGATCAGAAGTCTAGAAAATTAGACTTAATCACAATTTTCAAAGTTAAAATCTCCCTCCAGCTCGGTTAAGCTGCTGCAAAGGTCTGAGCTTTGGAAAGGCTGCTTTTTGCCTTGCCAGCAAGCAACTCACCCACTCTGGGTGATTGTTTTCCCATCCTGTCTCTTCAGCAAAAGTGCATGAGTAGGAGCTTGACTGGTACATTAAGAAGAGGAAATATGAATATTTCTCCAGTCACTATGAGCTTTTTTTCACTGCACTTACCTCATTTGGGTAGTCTCAGGGAGTATACATGATTCAATTTAACAGCTCCTCAACTGCTAAATGAGGCCAGGTTGACTATGCTAATGCTTACATTTCCATAGTGATCTCCATGCAAGCATTACAAGCAATTTAAGAAAAGTCATGAATTAACTTCCTTATCAGGTCAGTGTTATTATCACCATTCTTCAGCTGGGGAAAGAGGGACAGGGAAGGAAAGTGATTGCCAGGTGCTCCAGAGCATGTCCTCCCTGTGCAGAGGAGAATGAGACAGGTTCTCTACACTAGCAGCGACAAAGCCTCCAGGCTCAGACAGTGACTGGTACAGCATACAGAAAGGGATGGCTTAGTCCATTCTATTAACCAAATGCTCTATTAGCTTTGCTCCATTAATCCTATTAGCCATTAGTTAACTCAGTGTTAAATTCTGCCCTCCTGGAAGAATGAATGAGCATATAAGCCCTTACAGAGGAAGAGAATCCCTTTCTCACGAAATCTCAGAGCAATAGTAGGCTTGGTGGCTTTGCATTCCCTTAAAAGGGGTAATTTTTGACAGTGAATCACCACACGTGTGGTGAGGTCCTAACTTTCTGTAACTATCTTAATTTCAGCAATACAACATTGAATAAGGACAGTTTTGCATGAACATCAACAATAGACTATAGCTCACGGCAGAAGAACCATGTAGCATGGTCGTAATAAACCATCCAATAAGTCAGCAGACAAAAAAAACGATCTGCTTTTCCAAGGAGGACCTTTTAAAAAGAGTATCCCTGACATCCTAGGGCAGCATTACGCTTGCTTTCAGTATTGGTACTGTTTTTATCTGAATGATGTTATAATTTCTAAAAAAATCATATTAATTCTCTTATAAGCAAACATAATCAGCCATAAAAGCAGCTTGTTCCAGTGCCTAGGAAGAGCCTTTGAAGGTCTTTAGTATGACTATTTAACAGTCTGGTAAGAGTTTTAAAGGTTGAGGTTTTTTAATTTTACTCTCTCTAGCAATTCATTTTTTCCCAAATGGAAAAATGGGTAATGATAGAGATGTTAATGTGTAATATTTTTCTCCCAGAAAAGTCCATTTAATAAAGGTTTTACTCCTATGTAATTCTTGAAATATTTGCAGTGATTTAATCTCTTGAAAGACTTAGGGACTGCATGGTTGAGCCAAGCACCAACCTAAACATGAAGACTCAGAAAATATGAATCTGTATCTTCGGAGAAGGTACAGGTGACACTGACATGTAACTAAACTGGCTCAGCAGAACAAAGCATTTCATCCCTGGTTTCATCACCACGCCATCTAAAAAGTAAAAATGGTGAAGTCTTGCAGTAGTTTCTGTGGTGGCTATTTGCCAATTTGTGAACAGCTTGAGACTGCAACCTTTTTAATTCAGACCACCAGCAAGATTTCTTATAGCTCTAAATGGATACAAACTCTGACAGTTTAGTGATGCTGGATGTGAAGTGAGGGTTATGAGCTGTGTGACCTACCCTGCTTCCCACACATCAGAGTGATGCATGTGGTGTTTAAGGCAGAAAATAAAAGCAGTGTGACCAGAAGGAAGAAGGTAACCTATAGAGGATAAAAAAAAAATATCCAAAGCTTCCCAGGTACATCTCTTTTAGCAGAAATTGGCATCTGAAGGAGCTCCAAGATCAGGAGGATATTTACCGATTGCTGGACAGCCTGGCCAAGAGGGGTTCCAGCCAGCCCTTCTGACACTCGCAGTGTGAATCCATGAAGATGAGCACATCCCCGGTTGCCCGTGCAGCTCCTAGCATCCGACCTCGGATGACTCCAAGCCTCTTGTTGCTCCGGATGAGTTTCACACCATCCAGCTTAGAAATGTATTCACTCAGAGCTGATTTCAGGGGCCCTGTCAGAAACAGAATGGTTACCAAAATGTTTTAGCTTTGATTCAAGATGTTATAGAAAAGCAAATTAGTAGTAGATGATACATCTTGCTGGTAAAATGCTTTGGGAGCATTTGTTTTACCTGGCCAAGTAAGCCAGGTTCCAAATATCCCCACAGCAGCAAAATGCCGAAGAGAAGTAGAGACTGATGGAAACTGAGATTCACTAGGTATGAAGCTATTCCTGTAAGAAACTTTATAGCCTCCTACCCTTTTTTTAGCAAAAGGTGGTTGTTCTCATAATCTCATAAAAGGCGCAGATCAGAATGAGATACTACAGGTGTTTGGCTTTCCCAGGCTCTTGGATTGCTTTAGCAATGTGGAGTTTTCCACTCTATGCTTCAGCCAAAGTCCAAGTCTGGAAATTATGACAGCAGATCTGGTCCAGTGGGAAGACTAAAATTTGCATACTATGATTTTATTTTAAAGTAAAAAAAGTTCAGGGTGATTGGAAATGATGGGGGAAAAAAGAAAGTATTAAAAAAATCAAAAGGCTAAGCTGAATTCTAGGGATTGAAGAGTGAAACCTGGCAGCCAGCTCAGAGCTCTGCTTAGCTTTCTTCCTGGGGGTGCTCTTTGTCTCCTGCTTTCCTCGTGCACTTCTTGGAGGACAGTTTCTTCCCTGAAGCTTTGGAAAAAAAACTCACATACAGAGAAATAGGGGATACCTTGCTGGCTGAGATCATCAACCAGGATGATGTCCTTGAGGGACGCCTTTGGGGCTGTGTCCATAATGCTGTGCACGGTTCTCAGCAGAGTAGACCAGGCTTCATCATGGAAACAGATGATGACACTGGCAGTAGGCAGACTGGAGTCATATTCTTGCTGAAGGCACCTGCATGGGATCAAATGAGGGAGACACTGGCAACACTGGTACAACTGGGTACTTTTTTCTCAGAGCAAAGTTGTAAGCTACACCTAAACCTTCAAGGATGGAAACCAGTTTAAAGATCTCAGGCAATTTCTAATGAAAAAAAAGGGAGTATTAAAGTGTCTGAGACTGGAATATAAAATGAAAATATGGGAATGACACTATAAAAATTAAAATACAAAAAAGGAAAGTTTTGCTGTGTTCTGGGATACTTTCTTCTGCTCTGACTGCCTCAAAACACAGAGGTCAAACAGTAATGGTCCAGAAGGCAAAGAAAAACTGAAAAGATAATTAGACAAAGCAGAGAAGGAGATAAAGCAGGTCAGTCAGCCTCCACCAATTCCACATTTTCTCAAGTAACAGAGAAAATAGCAAACTGAAATGCAGTACCTTTAAGACTAGCAAGTAAAAGAATTCATCCGCACAACAGATCAGTATACCTGTGCACTGCCTGACCAGGATCCTAGGGAAGGAAACCAACATCTCAGTCCTGATCCCAGGACTCCTCATTTTCCCATGGGGCCAAGATTTCACCCATGACATTGAAACAACTTCCATCAAAGTTACTGTGAATTAGATGTTGCTTAGATAACTGAAGACTGAAAAACACTTCCTATTCACCCTCACAGTATATGAAAACTGCAAACCCTCATCAGACAATAAGTGTTTCATAAATGTAAGTAAAGGATCTACAAACCACATTCACAACAAAAAGTGTTTTCTGATGTACCAGCCTTGGTTCAGAGACATAGGACATGCTATACTGGCGTAAGAATGCACATTTTCCAGAAAAGGCCTTCAAATGCCCATTATAGGAATGCAGAGAATGTGCCTGTGTATGTGCTTTGCTCACATTAGAAAACACATTTTAAAATCTTTCCATTTTCTGAGTAGCAGTTATTCTGTTTCCTAACTCATTTAACCTCTAGCAACAAGAAGTTCTTCAAGAAATTACAGAATTGGCTGAATGTGGCCCATTGCTATTTCAGCATTTTTGTACTGCCAAGCAAATCCTCACACAGCTTTTACAGTGGTTGTTAAACAATTAGCTACTCAGCAGAACCTCATGTAAGGGATATAATTTTTATATTTCTATGTTTATTACCATTTTACTTAGTGCTTCTATTCATGGACTTAGGCCCTACGTGCTAGACACGATCCAGGACACAAAGCTGCTTATCATTTAAAGGAAGCCGTAAGTGAATGATTTAATAACAAATAAAAATAAATGACTACTATAGAGAAACCAGTGGAATATCAATTTTAAATGAGCACAATTATAATAATTTATTATAGTTTATAATATTTCACATCAATATCGTTTTTGCGTAAAGAGAGATCCTCTTGATGATTTTTACATTGTAATGAATTCGTGTTGTCCTTGGTTTACCGATTTTCTGTAATCAACAAAGCTGTTACTTCACAATTTCATATGGGGTAATTGTTTCCATTTTCAGCAGGATGGAGAAAAGGAGACTCGCATGACTTGGAAGTGTTTGTATTTTCAGGCAGAAGAATCCAGGGGAAATTAAGAAAAGTGAAGATCTGATGCAGGCCCTTTACTACCAGGCAGCTTCCAACGAGGACTATTCAGTACAGCTATTAAGCACCTGTATTTTTCACCATAATGCTACAATGCCTTCTTGCTAGTGCTGTGCTTATAGCAAGAAAATAAGGCTGTGGTGGAATCTTAATTGGAAAAGAATTGAAAATAACTGTACTTGAATACATAACCTAAGTTGTGAGTGTTTAGTTGCCATGGAGATTTGGCAAAGACTTGCAGTAGAGACATCTAATCTTCAGAAAAATGCAAGAGGGTACTGGTATACAGAAATACATTCCCTGTAATTTGAAGCAGTTTTGTAGACTGTCCATCATAAATTGGCATTTCAAAAAGTCAAGGCTGTGACTGATAGGAGACATAGTGATTTAATCCCATTTGTGAAAAATAAGGAATTGTCACATGCTGCAATGAACAGGAGAGCAATTCTGACACAGCAAAGGCACTGCCAACTGTGACTCCCACCCACCTTCAGGAAAATGTCTTGTTGAGATTCAGCTCCCAACAGCACTCAAGTGGAAGCTATGCTTTTGTAATGAAACTCAAAACCTTTTTAGGTACACTGTGAGTTTCTCTTTGCCTGATACGTTAGACACTCAAGCCCAAGAGAGGAAAACAGATCTTTCAGATTATTCCCTGAAATCAGAGCCACCAGGGGTCTTTAAACATGTGAAAATGAGCACTAGAAATATTATTATTATATACATTCTGTGTCTTAACTTCTAAGTTTTCTGATGCATCTTTCCACCGTGTGCTGGAGGAAAGCTGCAGTAGCTTTTGTTACAGGAGGCAAGCAAACCAGGTTGCCACTGACATCCCTTCCCCTCTCCATAGGTATACCTCATCTCATTTTTAAGAGCTGTGATGAATGGTCCTTGGGCAGTTGGAGTAACTGGCTCTCAAGTCTCCAGGTTTCAAAGGCAGCATGAAGGGTTCAAATGTAAGGGTTCAAATGGGGCTTCACACGCAACACTGCTGTGGCCTTACAGCCTGGCCACAGCTGCTAGACACAGTGGTGTTGGCAGGTCTGGTCAGACACACCAATCTCCACCTTCCTTCCTCCCAGGAGTTTCCTTTCAGTGTTTGTCGGGTCACTTGTTATACTAAAAGAACTGAAAGCTCCAACTCCCGACTTATCAGCCCGCAAGCCCAGTGACTCCATAGCCCTGGCAGGGGCCCACCATGAGATCTGTCAAGCCATAGAATGAGTCCTAGCAGTGGGAAGCGGAGGGGTGGCTGCTTGCATTGTAGCATTCAGCACCTGGGCAGAGCAGGGCTGGGGGGGAACACAGCTGCTGAGCCTGCAAAGCCATTCCCAACCAGCTGCGCCATGGCACTGATGGCAGGAGTGAAGTATGAGTGCTCCAAGAACAAACACTTTATAGTGCTCCATGTAATGCTTTGCCTGTGACACTGCAGGACCTAGATCATTGATCCTAAAATGACAGAAAGGACATGAACGGCAGTTCCTTCTTCTCAGACATGAATGCTTGCCACATGAAAGCTCTGCTCCACAAGGATCAGCTAAGCAGGTCGAGGGAGGTGATCCTCCCCTTCTATTCACTGAATAGAAGTGAAGCCGCATCTGGAGTACTGTGTCCAGTTCTGGGTTCCTCAGTACAAGAAAGACAAGCAGCTTCTGGAGAGGGTCCAGCGGAGGCCACAAGGATGATCAGGGGTCTGGAGCATCTCTCTTATGAGGAGAGATTGCAGGAGCTGGTCCTGTTTAGTTGAAAGGAGACTGAGAAGGGATCTCATTAATGCAGATCAATATCCCAAAGGTGGGTGCCAGGAGGATGGTACCAGACTCTTTCAGTGGTGCTCAGGACAGGACAAGGAGCAATGGCCATAAACTAAAACACAGGAAGTTTCACCTCAACATGAGGAAGAACTTTACACTGAGGGTGGCAGAGCACTGGGACAGGCTGCCCAGGGGGGTTGTGCAGTCTCCCTTCTCTGGAGACATTCCGTACCTGCCTGGACACGTTCCTGTGTAACCTGCTCTGGGTGGCCCTACCTTGGCAGGGGGGTTGGACTGGACGATCTCCAGAGGTCCCTGAATAATTCTGTGAGTCCCGTATCCACAGAGCTGGTGTGTATCCACCTTTCGTGCCTGACAGCCCCGCACACCCAAGGCGCCCAGCGCAGAGCATAGGGCCGTTCGCCGTTCCCAGCCCCAGCAGACAGGCAGGCAGTCAGACAGACAGACACACACACACAGACAGGCGGACAACCGCTGGGGTACCAGGGCGTTCCGCGGCACACGGAGCACTCCCCTGCCCGGCACCTGCCGCTGCGGAGCGTGCTCGCCCACCGCTGCCGGCAGGGGGCACTGCTGCCCGCTCTCCCGCCCGCAAGGCGCCGCGTTGCCATGGGTGACGGACCGGGCCGAGTCGTGCCGTGCCGAGCTCAGCCGCCCGGTGCCCGCGGGGAGGGGTGCGGGAGGCGCAGGTAAGGGCGTACCGCAGCCCTCAGCCGGGCGCGCTGCGCTCGTTCGTACCCCGGCGCCCCCAAGGAAGCCGTAGCTGCCTTCACGCCCCTGCCTGTCCCCCTCCACCGTTGCGGGCAATCCTGAGGGCTGGAAGCACCGCCCGTGTGGGCTCTGGCAGCGCCTGCCGCCGTTCCGGGCAGCGCGGGGGCTTGTGTGCCAGGGCCGCGGCTGGGCAGCTGGGACCCGGCTGGGGCGTCTCGGGCTGCCGCCGGGTGCGAGGCCGGGGCCGCGGCGGAAGGCTGGGAGCACCGCTCGGTGTGGGGAGCCGGCACTGCTCCTCGCACAGCGCCCGGGAAAGCGTTACCCGAACCGGAGGGGAGAGGTGGATAGGAAAGACGTGGGGCTTGGAGGAGGAGAGGTTCAGAGGGACGGCGGCAAGAGCCGAGTTTTCTCTCAGAAATGAAATAGGCTGTTTTACTTACAACGGGTGTCGTACCTCAGGCAGCTCCCTGCGCAGAGAGATCCGCTCACTGAGCGCTTCGTTAAAGCCATGGGTGTCCAGGCCGAGCTCCCCGGCAGCCTGCAGAGGAAGGGGCAGGAGCTGGGACTCGGGGTCTCCCTCTGCCTTCCCCTCCGGCCTCCTGCTCTGCTGCTTCACTACCCGATAACCCTTCCTGGCCTTGCTGTGGTTCCTTTTGCCGGTGGGGGACACGACGGCCACGATCAACTCATCCTCCCGCAGGGAGATGAAGGGTGACAGCCCATCCAAAGGGTAATATTGCTGGCTCTCCTCCTGGGTCTCCAGCATCTCTTGGGTCTCCGCAAAGTCCACCTGATAGCCTTCCCGGGGGTTGAGCTCCACAGGCTGGAAAGTCCCTTCCTTGCTCTGGTTGCTGGGTGGATTCAGCATTGTAACCATCAGAAGCAAAAAGCCCAGCATCAGCAACAACAAGAGAAATTGCAGCTTACGTGATCCATATCTGCACTTCTTCCTCAAGAACATACTGTTGGTGACAAAATTATACAGATGGTCATGTTAAATATTACTCGGATCTTCCTCAGACTCTGGTCCTCGGGTTGCAGCAAAGCCCTGGTTTTCACTATCTGCCAAGAGGATTTTTTTGCTCCCTTCACATTTCACTGATGCCGTTTCATGCTTTCCTCTCTATTTACAGACAAAATATAGCATTCCTATTAATATTGCACTTACTGTAGTAAAACGTAGCATGGATCCAGTGAGAAAAAGTAGATCCCTTATGAACAGAGTCCCAGCTTAGGAAAGCACATGTTTATCTGATGAAAAGAGTAAGTAAAGTTTTGATTTTTTTCCTTTATAAATTCTAAGTGAAAAGAAATTCCATTTCTTATAGTTTCCTTCCAGAGTAGACCCTGTTTCTTCAAAGTTTGCAGTTGCTGCCTGGATTGAAGCTCCTTATCTCTGAAAGCAGATCTGACAGCTCTCCCCCGTTCAGAGGCTTCAAGTTAACTGTGATCAACAGATGAGAACTAGTCGGTCCCTGACTTTGTTTCACACATAACTACGGCACTCAGTCAGGAAGCACTTTGCCAGACATAATACAGAGCAGTGTGTGTGTCTTTCTCTTGGTCCTAATGCCCTCACTGTTCGTGTTCTATCAAATCAAAACTTTGCAAAAGCTGAAAGAGGTGAAATATAAGAAGCAAAATGCTGTATTAAAACACAAATCAAGGCATACCACGAATCGCTCTGCTTCTGAGTAACCATATTAAGCTAAGAAAGCTCAGAGCAAGAAGCAAGAATTTTTTTAAATGGAATAAAAGATGTAGTGCACATGATTTATTTAAGGTTAGATTTATTCCTATGGTAATGTGCTAGCTGGAGTATATGAGTATATTTCATATTCAATAAATATTTACAGCTGCAAGGATTTTAACACTGACGTAAGAATGCCAAATTATCACCTGGCAGACTGAAGTTGTCTCCTCATCCATAAATTTGGTATTGCAGGGCAAGCAGCACTTCAAGGTTTTGTTAGTCCAGGAATAACATGTAGAAAGCCTGGGCTGGAACAACAACTACTGACACTGAAAGAAAACAGTAACTTCTGTGACTAAAAGGGGAGCTCAGTCTCTGAGGTCTGTTTGCTAATATTGCTGGCACGGGTGCTAGTGGGCAAGGACAGTGACATTTCTTGCTGCAAGATGGATGCTTGTCCAATGGGGATAGGGATGAGACAGTCCACATGCTTCAGTGTCACATGACTCTTGGTCTGGCAGAGATCGGGCATGGATATTAACTCAGGTGTTACCAACCCTCTTGATGCATGGGATGTGGTTTTTTGCATATCTTCTAAGATTTGATGAGTAGAAAGCTCCAGCTCGAGGAGGCATGTGATTACTTCAGAGCTTCCACATTCACCTTCTGTTCTAAAGTACATTTCTAGACATTACTGGCAAAGGAAAAGCCTAAATAATTTGCAATATATTCTAAAGGGAACCAAGGATTTATTCTATTTTCTCATCTTTCCCATAACTTCCCTGTAAGATGTTCTGTAACTTCAGTCTATGGCTCCTGGTAAACAACTTCCAGAAAACTTAAAAAAGAGAGGACACCTACCTTCAAACTAAAATGAGTCATGTCCTTCAAGAGGAAGAATGGGATGGAGCACCTTAAAATTGCTGGGGGCATGTAGTATCTCTCATTTCTGTGTGTGCTACCCCACCCAATCTTATACAGAACACCTTGAGGTGGTGTGACCAGTCTGTGTCTTGGCACCTTTCCTACCTCAGCTGTTCTTTAAAAGATGTAATACTGCTTTAATCATATCTTGGGTAGAAGGAAGATTTAGCAAGTATTTTTCTATTTCACCATTGTGTGTATGTCTCCCTTTTTTAGCTTAAATGCACAGAAATGTAACATCCCCACCCACCTTCCGTTCTGAGAATATTACTCTTTATTGTATTTTTCACAGGGAAAAAAGTATTGATGTTTTTAATTCAATAGGGGAGCAGCACACATTTGCATTTAAAAATATATGAGTTCAAGAGCATTCATTTAAATAACAATATGTGTCAGCCATAGAAAGACAAAATGAAATGGAAATGAAGAGACCTGTCCAAGGCACTCTGCAAAAAGCTGGCACCAGTGACTTGCAAAAGGTTCAGTTCCACAGAGTCCTATTATCAGGCATGTGGAAGAAAAGAAAATGAAAGAAAAGGAGAAACCTAAGAATATGTGGAATAAATGGGAGAAAGTGTTACTGGGGTTTTTTCTTTTCTCTTTTCTTTCATTTTCTTTTTTTTTTTTTTTTTTACTTTTCTGATCCTCCCAAAAGTTTTGTTTTAATTTAATTAATATTTTTGTCCTGGCTAAAGTATTATAACAGCATGCTGTAACAACTCTGATCAAGATAATTCTAGCCTGCAGTGGTAACTGCTGTATACATTCTGTCCTGGTATGTTCTGTGTTGTTGAATAAATCCACCTGGGTCAGTTCTGTTTCAGCTACAAATGAAAAGAGACCAAATTGACAAATTTACAGCAATCTTTCCTACTTTTAGGACAGAGCTGATAGATAAAATTATCACTGAAATGTATGCCTGTGGAATCTGGTCTTTGACCATTTTAACAAAGAAGAAATGAGCAGTTACAGAAGATGCTTGGAGGTCAGTTTAGTCAATTGGACATGCAAGTATAACACACTGAGTGGCACACTTTCAGCAGCACCTATTCCCTGTCCAGCATGTACCTGTCTATTGAAACTTCCTCACAACCATCTTCAGCTCTGCACAACAAGCCTTCCTGAACCATCTCCCATCAACCTGCATGTTTCCCGACTTCATCTCTTAAAAACAGATGAGGAGAGCACTGTGTTTTTTTCACTCCGTACAAAAGAGAGATTGTCTTTCCAATGAGTGAGCCCTTCAGTGTCTGATAGGACATGAGTTGTTTCCAAATTGTACTTGAAGAACAGCTTTGCTTTCTCATCAGCCTGGAAGTCAAGAAGACCATGTCCGTGGTATCTTCTTTCTACCTGTGGTTACTAAAAAGCATACTACAAAGTAGGTCCTTCCCTGGACACAGAGTAGGTTGCTCCTCCTGCCTAGCTGTGGGGGAGTCTCTCTTTCCAGGCATCCTAGGACACTTTCCTGTACATCTGCTGATGGAAGAGGAAGGAGCACTGCATGTCCCAGGCTCTACCTTCAGGCCTGGAGCCACTGCCTTCTTTCCCACTTCCAGTCTCTAAAGTGCTGCTTCATGCAGGTAGCCCATGAAAGAGGCCGCCCACAAAAGATGTTGTCTTTGGACTGTTGTTCTACAGTAGGAGAGGAACATGTTACATACAGGCTGAGCCAAGTACATTGGTTGAAAAGGCCAGTCTCTGGTGTGAGTATTGACCAGTGCCAATATTGTGTTGTCTTTCCTGCTGGTCAACCCATGCAAGCATTGAAAAACTTAGTCTCCTCCCAGTCCTGCTCAGGCAGGACCAGTTGTGGAAAGTGTATATGCCTTTAGTAAATACAAAGTCAAGACGTATTGACTACTCCATTCCTTAATGCTTGCTCATGTCTCTGATTGATGAGGAAGAAAATATTAACCACCCTTCACTGTTGCGATTTTTGCTCACTAATGGCCAAGAGCTAGAGCATGAAATCAAATAATTTTAATTTTAAAAGTATTAGGAAACATAGTTGCCTTATCCAGAGTAATAAACCTTTCAGTCACTGAAGTGTAGCTGTTTGTACTTACCCTTTCCTACCTACCTCATTTTGGCTTGTGATTTTGTCCAAACCATTCCCCATCCCATACTTGTTAAATATTATGTGACATGTTATGTTATCCGCACATGAAGAAACAACACATACTTTCAATGCGCAGAGCCCATATTTAAGTGCCAGGAAAATAACAAAGCAAGAACAAAACCAAGTCTGGATGGAAGAAAGAGAGTGTGGACAGGTTGTTACTTACTCTTTAATAAACATCTTGGATTGATTTACACTTCTATGCCAAAAGCAGATGTGCCACCTTCCATTTAAAGACTCAATACATAGCAGCACTCATGGTTTCATAGCTGCATGTATTATATATGCCACAGCAATTTGTGCGTTGTAACAATGGCTTCATTTGCACAGATGTGAAGAAAGTCAGTGCATAAAATGAGACTAATTACATGGAGAGCAGGAACTGTGGTGGCTTTATAACCAAGTTTCTTTCCCCATTTTTCCCAGGATACAATAAGAAATACACATTTTTAGATTATCATAAGATATAATTTATTTGCAGGTGTTATAGATGTTTTGTGTACTTGGCATTATACCAAATATTGTTAATTCAGTGACAGTTTCTAAGAGCAAGTTAACAATAAGTTAGAACAAGACTCCTTGGAACTTGGTTTTGGAGGCTATTAAAGCTTGATAAAATCTGTTAATCACAGGCAGGGATTTTGGCACTAACATATTTTATAAGATGTTTGCCAAGCTGTCAGTGAAGGAAATGCAGCTGAAATTCCATTTTTATAAAATTTCTGCTCATAAATCATGTGGCCAATGTAAAATGGAGCCTGGAAGCCATGGACCGTTGCACTGCTTTGCAAAAGCAGTTCTGTAGGCTTGAAGGTCAGCAGCACTTGATGGAAAGTAGAGGGGATATATCACAGTAGTGATAGCTTCTGGATTTACTGCACCAAAGCCTTTAGCAGACTCAGAAATTTTAACTCTCGGGACTTTAAGGGCAGTAGTATGTACTCTGTGCCTGAAACCTACCCTCTAACATAGCCTTAGACAGTTCCCAGGTATTTGTAAGGCATGAGACTTTTCATCATTATTAACCTACCTAGAAATTATATATCTCAAGCACTATGGGCAATACATGTACCATCACTACTTTCTGTCTCTTATACTCAACTGCTGTTAATATCCTTAAACTGTAGTTACACCTTCAACCCCCAGTTCCCCAATCAGGGGTAACCTGAATCCAGCTCTAAACTGCGACTGGTTTGGACTGTTTTAGTGTCAACATCCTTTACTAAAAATTATCCCATGTTGACCATAAAATCTAACTCACCATTAGAGACAACGAGACAGGTTCTTAACAGGCTCTAAATTCCTGTAGCTGCAGAGGTGGAAATGGAAATAAAGCGAGTTACTTCTTTGGAGTGGCTGGCCTGGCCTTTTTGGCTTTAAAAATGAAACAAATGAGGTAAGGGAAGTTCATCCCTTATGTAATATTAACAACATCAGTAGCATTACTTCAGCGGTAAATTCAGCTCTACAAGTGAAAGGTCACAGGAATGAAATCCTCCTGCCTAGGGAGCTCTGCTGGTAGAGTTTCACCCATGGTCAGAAATGTATTTTACTCCCACAGAACAGGCCAGGAAACCATTTACAAACAAAGTATCTCTAGAAATCTGTGTTATACTTGAGACACCCATAGCAAAGCCTTTTTTCCCTGCCATGTACTCTTTCTCTGGTGCGTAGCTCTAACTTCACATCTACTCTATTTCTTTCTGCATATACAGGAGATGGATAAACAGTGTGTGCTCCCCAGAAACTTTAAATATGGGTTGCATTCAAAAGTCACAATATTCATATGGAGAGGCTGTTCCCAGAAAAAGTAATTTTAGTTGAAATGGTATTTATGGTAAGTAAAAAGAAAAAGCTTTAAATGTTCTTGAGTCTCTTGACATACTAAGCATTTAGTGACATGCAGAACGTGACTGCATTTATTTCAATGCAATGGTCATCCACATTACTTAAGCTGGAAATCACCTTTTTTATAATAATTTTTATTATATTTTTTCTGAACAGTTACATATTTGTCAATACTTGATATAGTAACTGTTCTTCAGATACCTGCAGAGTATTATGGGTTTGATTTATCAAGGAAACTAGCAGACAATATCATAGTTGTGAAAGACCTGATGAGAAGACACTAATGATGGCATGAAAATCAAACAAGTTCACTGTTGTTGGGGAGGATTAGGAGCTGAGTAAAGCCCAAGTTAAGTCACTGCAGGTGTGCAGCTTAATGAGCTGCATTTGGGTAGCAGGTGAGCATAAATTGAGAGCACAGAGGCCATGTGTGGGAATGCTGTTATGAAGAAAGAGCTGGAGTAAATATGGGGTTGATATTTGAGGTAAGGCTGTAGTAGGTATTATTTTTGTGTGTGTTCATTTTTAGTACGAAGAAAATGCAGACAAAATGAAAGTAACCTATGTTTTTTAATTTTTTTCA